GAAACCAATCCCCATCTCTGTCAGAGGAAGTTGGAATCTGCCTCCATATTGTCACAGGAAGATAGAATCTCTCACCCTTTCCATTCCAAACCTTGTGGTCACTCAGCACTGGGCCTGAGTACAAGGCTTCGTGATGCAGAGGGGAGAGCTATCTGACCACAGATCTCCCTCCCTCCCTCCCTCAGTGACCCTCTCTGAGCCTCAGTTTCCAAATCTGAAAGACAGGGCTTGACATCATCCTCATAGTGCAGTTATAGCGTTTGCTCAAGAGAACGGCGAGTAGCCAAGGGTTCTCAGTAAGTGGCGGCCACCTTGGTGGCTGGTGTGGAGATGGTCGCTTAAAGGGCCGCCTCCCCAACCACTCCAGAGCTCAGTGTAACCCTGACCACCGTCTGGGCAAGGGGCCAGAGCATGCCCGGCAAGTGCGTCCCGGGGGGCGTCAGCAGCTCTGCCGGCGAGAAGGGGACGCCCCTCACTCTGGGCACAGCCCTTGGCTCCCGGCCCCCAGCGCCCCTGAGGGTGTTGGAAGAGGGTAATGCCTGAGTCAGCAGCCCGGAGGTCCCACGGCGCCTCCCACAGGTGAGTGAGGGGTGCTCTTCCCGTTGGCAGAATTGGCTGGAGGGGCAGCGGGAGGCCCGTGCCGGCCCCCGAGCCCCCGCTCCCCGCGCTCTGTTGTGTCTCGCTTGCTGAATGTTCGCTAACGCTGCTCTGGTCTCTGTCCACTTTTCTTGCAGCCGCTGCGAACGCTTGCCTTGCCTTGAGGTTCACGAGTGCCCCAAGCTGCCTCTGAGGATAACCTACTACCGTCTCTCTTTGCCCACCAACATTCTTGTACCCGCCATGATTTTCCGCATGGGCCCCTCCAGCACCGTCCCCGGGGACAGCATGCAGCTGGCCATCACTGGCGGCAATGAGGAGGGCTTTTTCACCACCCAGAAGGTGAACCCCCACAGTGGTGTGTTGGTCCTCACCAAGCCGATCCCCGAGCCCCGGGACTTGCTGCTCACTGTCCAGATGGACCTCTACCGCCACGGCACCATCAGCTCCTTCGTGGCCAAGCTTTTCATCTTTGTGTCTGCCGAGCTCTGAGCCCTTGCTTCAGGCCGTGGTCCCCTTGTCGCTTTCCTTGTCCTCCTGTCCTGGGAATTGAATAAAGCGTAGCAGGTGATCCTGCCTGGCGTGCTGCGCGTGTTTTATTCCGCGTGGCGTGGGCCTCCGTGCACTTACCACCCCCAGGGCTGAGCCAAACACGTGCCACCGCCTGGCGTCCGCCAGGGTGACCAGGCAGTGTTCCCCTTGGGGGCATGCGCCTGGCAGTCCCTGTTGTGGGAACGCCCTGGATAGAGGGGCAGGCAGCCTGGGCGAGGGAAGAACGGGGCTGGGGGTATCCTTGCAGGGGGATCTCTGGGCCTTCAAGCTGTCGCTCCATTGTTCTGCTCTGTCGAACCCACAGAGAGCTGATGGGTGAGAAGGGCCCTCGGAGGTGACTGAGCTCAGCCCCCACGACTGAGGCCCAGAGGAAGGAAGGGCTCGGCCGGGATCTTCGGCCTGTCTGTGCCAGAGCCAGGCCTGGAAACCCGGTCTCCGGCTCCGCCTCGTTTTCGTTGCCATTTCGCCCAGACAAACCCACTGCCGTTCAGTCGATTCTGAGTCACCGTGAACTTATAGAGCAGGGAGCTGCCCCAGAGGGTTCCCGGGGCTGTCATCTTGACCGAACTGTGTCTAACTGAGACAAAGAGGTGTGTCTGGGATCCAGACCCCCCACTCCGTCTTGATAAGAAGACAAACCAAACCTGTGGTGGAAAAAACCCATGGTCACAGCCTCTTGGACACGGTTCTGGCCTAAGTGAGGTCGAGGACGTCCACTGAGAACCTCAGCCCTGGGCCAGGAGGAGGCCAAGGCCAGTGGATAAGTGCGTTGACCCCAATCCTGTCCCCAGCCCTGCCTGGGAGGGCATCCCCATGGAGGCTCAGAGAGGGCGAGTGGTCTGCCCGCGATCACACAGCTGGTGTCTGAGCCCTTTGGCTGACAAAGCACTGGCCCATTCTGTCACAAGCCTCCCGAGTGGGCCTTCTCCCTCCCCTCCGCCTCCACTCCAGCCAAGCCACCATCGCCGCCCACCCTCGGCTGGTCTCCCGGCACCCCGGCACCATTCCCTGCAGCTTACCCTCTCCCCAGCAGCTGGGGCGATCTTTTCAGAACACAAATCATGCCATGTCGTCCCCCTGCTTACAGCCCTCCAGGGCTCCCCTTCATGTAGACTGAATCCCCTCAAGCGCCCCAAGTGCCTCCATGCAAGCCCCCAGCCTCACCTCAGACTGCTTCCCATGGCTCCCCTCTCTCCAGCCACTGCCGAGCACTCGACGGCCTCGGGCCCTTTGCGTGTACCCCAGCCCCTGGCTGAAATGCTGGTTAAACCCAGCTCGTCTCCCCAGAGAGGCTTCTCCAACAGTCTGGGTTACTGTTGCTGTCAGTCTCTCTCCTGACTCATCCCTTCAGAATTTGGATCACTGTCGGCAGGCGCTGTTTGTCTGTGGGTAGCTTTGGTCTCCCCCACCGTGCAGCAGGCCCCAGGAAGGTGGACACCAGCTTTGTGCTGTGTCTCCGGCTCCTGGCATGAGGCTGGGCACACATCAGTGCTCTGTGCACGTCTAGGGAGGGAATGGAGGACTGTAGACCAGTGTTAGCTCGTGTGTCTAGTGTGTTAGGCTGTGACTGCTCACGCCATTGTGAGGCAGAAACGTGAAGGGGGTGAGGGGAGGCAGGGCACCACAGTGGAATTGAGGAATGGGTTCTGCGTGATTGTAAGGTCCTTCCCACAAGGGCATGTAAGGGGTACCCCCGCCCTGCTGTCTGGTGGGCGAGCAGGACAGGTAGTGAGCTCTGTGCCTTGTACCTGTGACAGGGATGGCGGTTAACTCGCCACAGGAGTGCCAGTCACCTCCAAGGTTGCAAGGCCGCTCCCCGATGACCTCTGCTCTGGGTCAACTTCTCTCCTACCTTCCAGGGCATTCTAAGCTAAAGCCCGAGCCTCTCTGAAGGGCCAGTCTCTACCTGGAAGAAAGGAGAGTCCTTTATAATGTACAAGAGATTAAACAAACAGACAAAACCCATGTGTTTTGAATTGGAAATATCAGTATGAATTTGTGATGTATTTATTTTTCTAACTGTCCCTTAAAGAGGTCTAGAAACCTCTTCAGTGACTAAGCCAGTAACACTTGCATCCCTAGTGCCTAGATTACAGCTTCAAAACGCCATTTTCTACTAAAAGAACAACAAAAATAGTACCCTCTTGGAGAAATGGCCAGTTCTACGTCTGAGACAATAAAAACGCAAGATGAGGCTGGATCTCAAGGAAGCTGTCAGATGACAACAAGGGTTCTGGCCAGAGGACTTAGCACCCACTTGTTTTGGGTGCTGGCCAAAGATGGGAAAGTTTGCACTTCAACAAAGGGTAATTATACTGATATTTAAAACAGACTACTGGTTATCTTTGGGGCAGGACAGGAAACCAGTTCATTATCCAGAAAACTGGTAAATAAAATGGAAGTATCATGCGTTTGTCTTGCTTTCCGCTATGAACTGTCCCTGCTGGTAACCAAACAACACACAGGGGAAACACCTCTTTCTAGATGCAGCCCAACTAATAAATGCAAAGACGTGATAGAATCAGGCCACCACCATTTTGCAATCTCAGTTGAATCGATGGAGTGAGGCCCTGAGCATCAATAGCTACTACCATCAAAAGAAAGAGACAGCCAGACACTATGTGATGTGTGTCTTGGTGGAAGATACATCACCACCTACTGTCTCATCAAAGGCACAAAGCCTGTGTCTGATCAGGCCTTTGGGTCCAGCTGCCGACATGCAGGAAATCCAGAGGCCAGGGGGACACACTCAATGCACCACGAGGATACAGTCAGCCAAGCCTAGACTGCAGGAAACGCTTCGGGCAAATGCTTCAGCTTCTGTGAGCCATGAGTTGTGGGGGAAAATTAAGGGGTTAAGAGGAAGCCCATAGATTGAAAAAAAAACTTAAGAGACAGAGCAACAGAGTTGTAATGGACAAGTCTATGATTGTGTCTAGAGACACCACTTACGTGATAAAACCCTAAAGAAACCCAGGGAAGGGATTGCTGTGGGGGTTCGGACTACGGGTGATGTTTGGGACGAAGGAGGGGGTTGAGATTGGTCTGCAGCATGTGAAGGGGCCTTTGGGTGGCTGACAAAGTTCTCTTTCTTGACCTGGGTGCTGATTATAGAGATATTAGCCTTACACAGTGAAACCTGGGAGAGCCGTAGCTCAAAGACAATACCTCGTTTCTTGCCAGATCTTGTGAGTTTTCCACCAGGTGTCACGAGTTTTCCACCTCTGACAGGGCACAGTCCCCACTTTTCTATCCCTCTCTGTTTAGAGGATAATATTTGGCTTTCCCTTTTCTGACAGGTGTCCACCTTACACAGGTTCCAGCTACTCTTTCAACTGTACCTGCGTTTTGTGTAGTTTTCTGTATGTGTTTATTTTAGCACAAAGAAGTTTAAAAATGCAGCCAGCACAGCGCCTGGTCACACAGACCTTTGCTACACTGTAGCTGCTTCTCATTCCTCCCTGTCGTGTAACAGTACAGATTTGACTTCTTTGTGCGGGACACTAGGCTTGGCCCTGGGCTTACTGAAGCCAGGGCCATGTCTGTCCCTTCCCTTGCATATCCCTGGCCCCTGGCACCCAGCAGGCACACAAACATACTTGTTGAATGAATGAATGCACTTTCAGGATGTAGAAACGGACACGCCATTGGTGGAGTCGACAAGTGTCAGCTTAGCCACAGCCAGGGCAGAGGAGGCCAGTTTGCAGGAAGGGTCTTGGGGCTTCCCCCACGCAATGGCCAGCCTGCTAGGCCTGTGCTGCCGGCCTGGCCACCTGCACCCCTCCCCACACCACGGTCTCCACAGGAGCCCAGGTTCTGACTCGCCCCCCTGCCTCTGTGGTTCCCTGTAGGCTCGGCCAAGAGAAGACAGATACAGTCCGCTGTGTGAAGTCATGCCGCCCCAACGATGTCACCTGCGTGCTGGACCCAGTGCACACCATCTCTCACACTGTCATCTCGCTGCCCACCTTCCGCGAGTTCAGCCGGCCTGAAGGTGAGCCGGTGGGGAGGTCCCGGGAGACACTGTGGTGTAGGGGAGTTGCCTGCGAGCAGACCCTTCCAGGCCTCCCTCCATCTGAGCTGAGAACTTGACCCGGAGGACCCCCTCCTGAGTGGGGCATGGCTGGGGTGTGAGAGGTAGCCCTCTCCCCTGCCCTCAGATGTCGCCCATGTCCCCAGACTGGGATTAGAGGGCATCTCTAACTGGTGCTTGTCCTGTGGGTAATGATGGGGTTCGCCAAACCACAGTACACCTCCTTCCTGATCCCCAGCGGCCGGGTCTCTGGCCTCCAGGGCTGGTGCTGACCCGCGAGCAGGGCCCAGGGAACCCAGACCCTGGTGATGAAATGGCCCTGTTGTTGTTGGCGGCCACCAAGTGGATTCCGACTCATAGGCCCCCCGTGTTACAGAGTGGGACTGCCCCGCAGGGTTTGCCAGGCTGTTGTCGTCACGGGAGCAGATCACCAGGGCTTTTCTCCTACAGAGCCACTGGGTAGGTTTGAACCACCGACCTTTCAGTTAGCAGCCAAGCACTTAACCGTTGTGCCACCAGGGCTCCTTGAAAGGACCTTGTTGTTGTGTTGTTATGTGCCGTCGAGTCAGACCCGACTCATAGCGACCCCTTCTTGGGTTTCCAAGGCAGTATCACTACGGAAGTAGATTGCCCCATCTTCCTTCCGGGGAGTGGCTGTGAAAGGACCTTGTTGTTGTTGTTGTTATGTGCCGTCGAGTCAGACCCGACTCATAGCGACCCCTTCTTGGGTTTCCAAGGCAGTATCACTACGGAAGTAGATTGCCCCATCTTCCTTCCGGGGAGTGGCTGTGAAAGGACCTTGTTGTTGTTGTTGTTACGTGCCGTCGAGTCGGCCCCGACTCATAGCGACCCCTCCTTGGGTTTCCGAGGCAGTATCACTATGGAAGTAGGATTGCCCAACCTTCCTTCCGAGGAGTGGCTGGTGGGTTTGAACCGCCAGCCTTCTGGTTAGCAGTCAAGTGCCTTAGCCACTATGCTACCAGGACCTTAGTGGCTTCAAACTGCTGCCTCCTCCACCTTAAAGCCAGTGGCCATCAATCAAAAGCAAACAACGGCTGAGCTTCACCAGTAAAGAATGTGCGCCTGGAGCCTTGCACTCTTTTACGATCTGTCCGCACGGGACCAAACTGACAACAGCAGCTGGAAGGATCGGACAGGAGCCTCAGGGGGCAGTGAGCTTGTCTGTGGGAGAGAGTGACTCGGAGAAGGAGGGTGAGGATGGCTGCAGAACTCGAAGGGTGTGACAGTGTCACTGAACTGTCTGGAGAAACGGCTGACTGGGTGTATGCTCTGTGTATTCTCAACAACAGCGGAACTGGTGACCGTTGAGTTGACTCCGAGTCGTGGCACCCTCGCGTGTCAGGTAGAACTGTCCCCCACGGGGTTTTCCGTGGGTGATTTTTTGGAAGCAGACCGCCAGGCCTGCCTTCTGAGGTGCCCAGACGTGGACTCGCACTGCCCGTCTTTCGGTGAGCAGCCGAGAGTGTAAACCATTTGCACCAGCCAGGGATTTCCTCGTCCACCTTAGGGATGAGGTGACAGGCTCAGCGGAGGGCTCTCAAGGCCGCCCCGGTCAAGGCTGTTTGCTGTCCTTCAGGCACTCGACTGTCAGACGGGGGCTTGTCTGACCCGTGTCACTGTGGCAGCAGAGGAGCCTGCCCCTGTGGCCTTTCTGGGGCTCTGTGTGTCCCTCAGCCACTTCCCTTCCCCCTTTTCTCAACTTCATGAATGTTCATGGGTCATTACCTGGAAGCCTGTTGGCAGCCAGGCCTCTCCTGAGGGGTGACACAGCCTAGAAGGGGCTCCAGACTTTCTGTAGGGCTCGGTTTCCCTGCCGAGTGACAGGTGACGTGGGCAGGGACACACGGCCCTCAGGACCTCTCTGTCTTTTCTGCGCAGACAGCCTGGCTTTGTGGGTGTCATCCACAAATGGCCCGTCTGTGGTATGCTCCCACTGCCTCGGGCCGGCTTTGGGGTTTCCCAGCCAGAGTCGCTATGAGTGAGAGTTGACTCGATGGCAGTGGGTTTGGTTTTTGGTGTTTGGCCACCTTGTGCTGCCCAAGGGCTCATTTGGGGTGCTGCCCACACCGTGCCACGTTTTGGGGTGCTGCCTGTACCATGCTGCATTTGGGGCAAGCCATGCTGTGCTTCCTGTTACAGAGATCATCTTCCTCCGAGCCATCACGCCAGCGTATCCTGCCAACCAAGCTGACATCATCTTCGACATCACAGAAGGGAACCTGTGGGACTCCTTTGACATTACCAAGCGCTTCATGGACGGCATGACCGTGGGTGAGTGGCCAGAGACGCCTAGAGTTACCCAGAAGCCCCTGTTCCTCCCAAGTCGGAGCCATGGCCTGCAGTGCCCTTCAGAGGGCACTGCCCAGGCTCCCGTCCCAGCAGCCCAGAGGGGTGGCTCCCGTTCAGGACCCCTCTGGGCCTCGGTCTCCCCATCTATAAAATAGGGGATGACATAGATCTCTGAGTCTCACCCCCACGAGTTTCAAATGCTATCGCGCTGAACAGTGTTCCTGTCAGGGCCTGGTATGGAGTCACGCCTCGGTCAGTGGGAGCCGACGTGGGTTTTATTCTCAAGGGACAGTGGAGGTCTGGCCTCAGGCTGGGAGACTGTGTGCTGTGTGACTTGTCGCCCCCAGCCCACCAAGCTTCTGTGTCACTCACTCACAGCCCTTCTGAACACAGGGCTGGCTGGTCTCCCTCCTGGAGGTGAGGTGTGTTGGCACAGGAAGAAGAGCTGAAGTGGGGGACAGTCAGGGAGCACTTCCTGGAGAGGGCACAGCTGAGCTGAGGAGTGGAGGGGGAGCGAGGAGCCAGGCCCAGGGAACAGCCAAGCTCAGGGCCCAGAGGGCAGAGAAGCTCGGGCATTTGGGGAACTAGCTCTGGTGGTGTGGTGCCCAAGACGTTTGACTGCTAACCAGAAGGTTGGTGGTTTAAACCCACGGGCTGCTCCGTGGAAGGAAGACGGGGCAATCTACTTCTGTAAAGGTTTACCACCTTGGAAACCCAGTGGGGTCACTGTGAGTCAGACTCGACTCAATGGCAGTGAGCTTCGTTTTGGTTTTAGTACAGTCTGGCTGGGGAGAGGGTGGCAGTGGCAGGGGAGGGGACAAGGCTGGAAAAGTCTTTTATTGTCATTCGTCCTGCCTCTCCTGAACCGTGTCATTTTTAAAAAGTTTTAAAAATTCACGGGAAACGCACACTCCCTTCACCATTTGGCCTTAGAGTTAGGCTCTGAGCATTTTTAAAGCAGCCGAGAAGCCGAGGGCCAGTCCCTGTCCTCACCTGGGCCTCAGTTTCTCCCTTGTGAATGGGGGAGTAGGTCCAGGTCTTTTTAGGCCCTGGCATCTGTGAGGTCTTGACCAGAAGGCTTGGCCACACACGTGGTGCCATAGCTGAGCATTTGGGCACATGACCTCTAGGTGGCGCTGTTGGATTTTCGAATGCCGGTGGCTGCCACCCAAGCCCAACCGACTGCTGTAAACCTGGCAGATGGAGAAAGGGGATCGTTACTCCTTGTTGCCAAAGAGCCATTTATAGCAACTTTACAAGCTCTTAAATGGGTTTGCACGTTGTAAACACGACTGAGTCATGGTGGCTTCCCATTACCAGCCTCCTCCTCCTCCTCCACTAATGAGTTGTCAGGTGCTGTCAAGTCGGTTCCGACTCACGGTGACCCCACGCAACAGAACGAAACCCCGCCCGTCCCGTGCCAGCCTCACAACCATTCCTGTACTTGAGCCCATTGTTGCAGCCACCGTGTCGGTCCATTTCAGAGGGGAGCTCCGGTAGCATAGTACCTAAGGCATTTGACTGCTAACCAGAAGGCTGGCGGTTCAAACCCACTAGCCGCTCCTCAGAAGGAAGGTTGGGTAATCCTACTTCCGTAGTGATACTGCCTCGGAAACCCAAGGAGGGGTCACTATGAGTCGGGGCCGACTCGACGGCACATAACAACAACAACAACTCTTTGCACTGACCCCCCCCCCCCTTCACAAGCATCATGTCCTCCTGGAACTGGTCCTCCTGACAACACGTGCAAAGTAAACAAGAGGAAGTCTCGTCTTTCTCACTTCTGAGGAGCATGCCAGCTGTACTTCTTCCAAGACAGATCTGTTCATTCTTCCGACAGTCCACAGTACATTCCATGTTCTTCACCAGCACCACAACTGGAACACATTAATGCTTCTTTGGTCTTCCTCATTCATTGTCCAGCTTTCACATGCGTATGAGGTGATTGAAAATACCATGGCTGGAGTCAGGTACAACTTACTCCTCAAAGTGACTTTAAACAGTGATTTTAAAAAACAAACAAACATTTTAAAGAGGTGTTTTGCAGCAGATCTGCTCCGTGGAATACATCATCTAATTTCCTGACTGCTGCTTCCATGGGTGTTGATTGTGGATCTAAGTGAAAGGAAATCCTTGACAACTTCAATTTTTTCTCCATTTATCGTCATGTTGCTTGTTGGTCCAATTATGTTTTTTTGTTGTTGACGTGTAATTCATACTGAAGGCTGTGGTCTTTGATCCTCATCAGTAAGTGCTTCAAGTCCTTGTCACTTTCAGCAAGCAAGGTTGTGTCGTGTGCATAGCACAAGTTGTTAGTTGTTCTTCCTCCAATCCTGATGCTGTGTGTTGTTCATGTAGTCCAGCTTCTCGGATTATTTGCTCAGCATACAGGTGGAATGAGTGTGGTGAAAGGATACAACCCTGACACACTCCCTTCCTGATTTTCGACTACACAGTATCTCCTTCTTTTGGTCAATGTACAGGTTCCTCATGAGCACACCTGAGTGTTCTGGAATTCTCGTCCTTTGCAATGTTCTCCATGATATGTTATGATCCACACAGTGGGGTGCCTGTGCAGAGGCAGTGAAACACAGATGAACATCTTTCTGGTGCTCTCTGCTGTCAGCCACGATCCATCTGACACACCCCCTTCTAAATCCAGCTTGAATTTCTGACCAGTCCTTGTCGATGCATGGGTGCAACTGTTTTCTCCAGCCTAATTTTACCTGCCTGTGATATTAATGGGTGCTCTGGTGGCATTGTGCCTAAGGCACTTGACTGCTAACCAGAAGACTGCCGGTTCAAACCCACCAGCCACTCCTCAGAAGGAAGACTAGGCGATCTACTTCCGTAGTGACACCACCTCAGAAACCCAAGGAGGAGGGGTCGCTATGATTCAGATCCGATTTGATGGCACTGAGTTTGGTTTTGGTTTTGGTGATAATGATATTGTTCAATATTTTCCAGTTCCTCGGGTCACCTTCCTTTGGAATGGGTGCCTTTTCCAGTAGGCTGGCGTAGACCAGTAGGCCCTTCCAGCATCGTATCTGTTGGTTGAAACGTCTCACTTCCTGTTCCCTAAAGTCGTGGAGCCTGGTTTTTCACCAGTGGCTTCAGTGCAGCTGGCCTTCCTCCTTCTGCACCCTCAGTTCTTGACCGTGTGCTGCCTCCTGAGATGGGTGACTGTCGACCACTTCTCTCTGGTGACTCTGTGTACCCCTCCCATCTTCTTGGATGCTTCCCTCATCATTGAGTAGTTTGCCCGTCGAATCCTTGGGATTTACAACTTGGGGCTTGAACATTTTCTTCAGTTCTTTCAGCTTGAGAAATGCCGAGAGTGTTCTTCCCTCCTGGTTTTCTGACTCCAGGTCTTTGCGCGCTTCATTGCGTTGCTTTACTTTGTCTTCTCAATCCACCCTCTGAACCTTCCACTCATTCATTGTTTCTTCTGTTCACTTCAGCTGCTCTGTATTCAGGAGCAGGGTTCAGAGTCCCTGCTGACACCCTCTTTGGTCTTTTTTTGTTTGTTTTTGTCTCTTTTTAATGACAACTAATGGTAATTAGGAGTTCTACTGGCGCAGTGGTTAAAGCACTCGGCTGCTAACCAAAAGGTCACCAGTTTGAATCCACTAGCCACTCTGCTGGAGAAAGATGAAGCAGTCAGCTTCTGGAAAGGTTATAGCCTTGGGAACCCTGGTGGGTAGTTCCACTCTGTCCTCTAGGGGCGCTGTGAGTTGGAATCCACTAATGTTTTCGCATTAGCCCTAGCTGGGATTCCAAGTGCAGGGCATGTGGGTTGTCAACAGTCATCCAGTTTGTGGCTTGCCCTGGAATACGTTCCCCTTCCCAGCCTCATTTTCCCCACCTATAAAATGGGACATTTGGATGGCAACTCTAGGGTTCCCATAGAGAGGGCAGACAGGAGCACAGAGGGTCAAGGGTTTGCCGCCTTGCTGGGTGAGGGCGGGGAGGGCTCGCATACAGAAGCCACCTGCTGCCACCCCTATGCTGGCGCCTGGAGCTGCAGTGTGGCTCTGCCCCGGGGCACTTCACAGCACTCAGAACCATCCCAGTTTGCAGTCACACAAGCTGTGCACTCACTCATTTGTGTTCCCAGTCACTGAGCTCCTGCTGGGCCCATCTGTGCCAGGCTCCGGGCTGACTTTGCAGGCACCAAGATGAATGAACACCCACAGCCCCTGTCCTTGGGGCTTTGCATCCAGGGGGAGGGGGAGGCAGTCTGCCAAACAGACTGGCAAACACTATGCAGGCAGCCAAAGCCCGCAGCAAGCTGGCACAGGAGGGCTGTCTGGGTGGGGCACCTTCCCAACCAAACACTTCCTGGGGTGACCCAGCAGGGGGCCAGAGGCAGCCAGGCCCAGAACTGTGGCCACAGCACGTCTCTCTGGCTGTGCCTGTACTCCAGGCCCACTGGCAGGTCCTGGTTCCCCACTTCCCATCCAGTGGGGCATCAGAGCCGGGAGCTCCTAAGACCACGTCTTCCAGTCCCTTTGGTAGAGGGAGAAACCGAGGCCCGGAGAGGTAGGGAAGCTGGGGATCCTGCTCGTAGCGGCTCAGGGCAGAGCTGGGAACAGAGTGGGCCCCTGGACGTGAGAGGGGCCACGGGAGGTAGAGTTGCTGTTGTAATTTGCTGTCGAGTCAGATCCGACTGATAGTGACCCCTCCTTGGGTTTCCGAGGCAGTCTCACTACGGAAGTAGATTGCCCAGCCTTCCTTCCGAGGAGTGGCTGGTGGGTTTGAACCACCAGCCTTCTGATTAGCAGTCAAGTGCCTTAGGCACTACACCACCAGAGAGGGCTCCTGGGAATGGACTGGGGGCGTGGCCACGGGAGTCGCCCCCGGGAACGGACTGGGGGTACAGCTACAGGGCCTGCACTTCTGGAAGGAGACAGTAGCGGCCAGAGGCCCCGCTCGTGTGCTCAGTCACGCGTGCTGCCTGGTCTCTGCAACGCCGGCTGTGC